AGGAGGAGGAGGAGGAGGAGGAGATGGCTACTGGCTCTGTGACAGGGAGTCACGCATCAGGAACCTGCAAGAGAGGGGAGGAGGAAAGCGACACAAAAGCGTCCTACAAAGGAACAGACCCGACCACAGCTGGAAGGAAGGCAAACCTTTGAATCAGGTCCTTGAAATACAAGCTGCAGGAAGCTAGAACATTTTGGTGGACTTCAAACTCTCTGCCTTCAACAACAATTTTCAGGTCTGTAAACGCTTTCGCTCTGCGCTGCTGGTTCAATTCCTTCAACATTTCTGCAGAACAGAGAAGACAGACAGGGCCAGGTTCCCATTAAGAGTTTTTTTAATTAAATTTTTTTTTCAAGAAGTAGAGAGATAGAAAATACTTGATATTGTTTCTTGGCAAGACTGGCTCAACACTGACAGTCAAAAGAAGTCACAAACATAATGCGTAAACAAGCAGCCACTGGGAAGGGCTACATAACCGAAGGGATCACAACTTTATAAAGCGAAAGAAACAAAAACAAAACAAAAAACCCCAAATGAAACAAAAAACCAAATATGATTAAAAAAAAAATCAAACCCAGAAATTGGAAAGTTAGGGGGAGAGATTCCCATACAGACAATTGGAAACATAGAGAATACATTATTACAGACAGCTAAAACTTTTCTAGAACTACGGAACAAGCTCTCCAAATGCCAATGGGTGCCGATGTATTGGGTACCAAGTCAAGTATGGCACTGTGATGTAAGATGGGCTGGATATGGTTCAAAGGAATCAAAACCACAAAACCTGCAAAAACAGCATCCCTTCCGTTAGACACTCACAGCCATGGTGTGCGGCGGGCTTCTAGGGAGGGAGCCCCAGAGCGGAGGGGTTGGGGTGGGGAGGGCCTGGGAGATACCTCGATGCACTTCACACTCTTGGGACCTCAAGGGAAGCAAGCAAGCGAGGGACAGGGCTCTCAGTACCACCCCCCATTTCCCGGCCGGCCTCTCAGGACTCCCACCCTTGTCTGGGGTTCAGCACTGGGCAGCCGGTCTGCAGGCCCTGCAGGTCCCGGAAGTAGCTTCTGGGGTCTTCCCACCCTGGTGTGCACCTACCTTTGCCTGGAGTCTTGGCCGCCAGACCTGGGGCTGGCACAGACAGAGGCCAGGCCATCAGGCTGTCCTCTGGGAGTGTCAGAAGCTTCTCCCTGGACCCACCCCAAGGCATGGAGGGAGAAGGACGGAAGAGCCTGCCAGCTGCGCTGCTTGGTTTGTGGACCTTCTCTCCTTTGCCAATGTTAGGCCTTCAGATGACCAGCGCGCCTCCAGCCTTGCCCCGCCTCGCCTGCCTGCCTCCGGCAGCCCTGGAGAAGGCCTGCACATTGCTAGCAGCTGGCTACGGAGGGTAGAAGGACCTAGACAGTCATGGGGCAGCTGGAGGGAGATGATAGCCTGCAGGGCTGAGCTCCACTTCTCAAGGCCCCTGCCGTCACCCCGGGCCCTCCAGGTCCATGCTAAAGGCCAGCTGGTGTTGAAGGAGTGCCCTGCTGTATGCCTTGTGTCTGCCTGGCCGTCATCACTTTACCTAGGCCAGCGCTGGCCGTCCGCTGAGACTCAGACACTTGCATGTCTCTGCAGGACCCCTGCACCTCTTGGGGGCTCTGCACCTCTAAACTGAGGACTGAGGCTTGTGCTTCTGTGAGCAGAGAGTACTGAGGGACCCGTAACGAAGCCCTGTTCAAGCTTTGGGCCTTGGTGGCCAGGCAGAGCTCTGGGCTCCGTGGAAGACCAAGGAGGGTGGTCCTGGAGAAGACGCTGTCTGGGGGGCAGGGGTGCTGTCTGGGAGCCACAAGCAGTCTGTGTCACAGGCTCACCTGGAGCCACGGAGGAGCAGCAAAGGTGTGTGCGGGCCAGGGCGGGGCCTCCCCAGGGACCATGCTGAGGCGGGGAGCCGGGGCAGGTACTCCAAAAGGCCAGCAGGGCCTGTGGAGGGGTGCAGTGAGTGAACAGGCCGGCGTAAGAGCAGTGCTCCAGGTTGGCAGGTGGGCTGGGTTCCAAGAGCTTTGCCATAGGAGCTTGAGCCTAACCCTGGGGCCCAAGGGAGCCACAGGGGACTCTGTGCAGGGGAGTGGTGAGGTTAGACTGGGCTCAACACAGAGGCAGGATGGGCTCAGGTGGCCTAGAGGAGGCCTGAGGCATCACTGAGGATGGGCTGGAACTCCGCCTCCTGCCAGCTGTGAGACCTGAGGACAGCAACGCAAGAAAATGGAGCCTGGGTTCCCTCATCACTGAGGGCTGAGGAGATAGCTCAGTGACCAGCCAGCACACACCCAGCCTCGGCACAGACTGGAGCTGTCACTGACGGGGAGGCCTGTGAGTGAGGTGGAGGGGTGCAGGGACACACGGGACACCCAGGAGGGGGCAAGGAGAGGTGAGTTTTGGGGTGGGCCTGTGGGGAAGGGGAGGGGGCAGG